AGTGTAAAAAAATGATCAAACGAAAATAGGTTGGTCTCACATGATCCCAAATCTAATTTCTTAAACATCTGTATGGTTTAAAACACAATTTTGTTTGAATTTAGTAAAATGAGACGTGGAAAGAACGTTTTTGCCCATTTTCTTCAAAATCTGACAACTAAAAATTTCGTATATTTACCTTAATAGACAAATTTGTGTAATACACGTAAAATTGTTGAAGCAATGTAAACATCTACAAAAACAAATAAATAAATATATATATATATATATATATATATATACACACACACTAATTAGAAGGGTACTCGCACAATGCAACGAGATACATCTCGACTTTAATGTTTCGTTTCTTTGTTCGATGTTATAATACAATTTTATGTGATTTTAAGAAAATGATAATATTTTTTACTTTTGCATAAGATATAAATATAAAGATATCATAAGAATTTGAAAAAAATATATTGATATTCATATCAAACTAACTATTTAAAATTTCTATTTTTTTTGTGTAATTTTTATTAGTGATTTTATTATAATTTAATTTAAGTTTAATAATGAAATAATTTATTTTTGGTTTAATAATATAACATTTTATAAAGATAATAATTAAGTATTWTSTTARAACTCAATGATTATCCTAATTTTATTTTAGATATTTTATATTTAAAATGAGATGTTTATAATGTATTAGATTATGTTTATCTGTAGTTAGTTACATGAATTCAAACATCGAGCTTTAATAAGTTGTAATTATGTACAATTTACTTGTAATATTGAATTTTAAGTATTATGCATCAATAAACAGTACTTTGTGCATAAAAAATGAGTTTAAAAGTTTTTGTCAAATGCTTTATAATATAGTATAGATATATAGACAATAAGTTCAATTGCAAACCAAATTTTGGTTGTGAATCGTGGGACAAAGGAGAATGTGACACTTGTCCCCAATTTCCACATTTAGTATAGATAACGAAGGTCATTGAGTACGAATAACAAAATTGAACGTTTATGAACTATTCATGATGAATGATACAACATTCATGATGACAAATACATGATCATGATCCATGTTAAATTAATTCACTATTCACGACGAATAATGCACATTCGTCATGATGATACATTATTCATGATGAATAACTCGTAAAGATGTGAGACACGTGTCGCACTCTCCTTTATCCCCAATTTATAATTAAAAATAGATTTTCAATTGAACCCCTATATATAATTATTTAAAATAATTTATTTATTAGAACTTATATTTATTATGATAATTGGAAAAGATTTATTAAATTCTTTTTAATCATGCCAAAAACAACAAATATTAGACTTGATTAGGTTTTGAGTTTGTTAAGTACCCAATGGTCCTAATCTTTTTGTATCTTTTGTTTTTATTAAATAACAAAATATTATATCTTTATTTATTACAATAATATATTTTTAAATTATTTTTTATTAGGATATTATATTTTAGAAAATCTATTTATTATAACAATAAATAATTTATTACCTTTTAAACTGATTAACTCCTATTTTTCTTATTACATAGTTTAAATGGGGTGAAATAGATGACACGTCATTCTCATCACGTATCTTTTAATTTTATTTTTAAATTGTTTTCTCAGATGATATATTTCTAAAGAATCAGATAAGTATCTTTTAGATTTAGAAAAATATATTCTAACATTTATTTTATATTTTGATTTTGTCAAATCACAGTTGATATACCATTTTGAATTAAATGATTTTGATTATAATCTTGTTTGCTATTTTTAATTTAATGATTTTGATTATCAGTAATATTGATTTGATTTTGTTTGAATTTGAATGTTGGTAAATCATTGTTGACATTTAAAAAAAATCCCCGATTTCTATTAACAACGTGGATGAGAATGTGATCATATTCTCCAACGAGAATAGATATGGAAAATAGCGATCGGGGATCAGGATCTCCGTCCGATTCCATGGCCCGATAAGAAAAAAATAAATACAATATTAAAACTTATAAAAATATATTATTATTTCAACCATTTAATTCTAATAATAAATAATATTTTATTCATAATCTTTTTGTTAAAAATAAGATAACGAACGAGATAATATTTTTTAAATTTAACATATTTTAATAAAGAAAAATTGACTATTGATTAAAAAAGGCGAATTAATTATATATTTAATTTACGGTGGCAAAAGTTTGTAGAACAATTATTGGAATCAGCATTAATAAGCTGTCAATCTCATGATCCATGCCCCACAGCAAACCACAAAGTGCCAATTGCCCCCGACCCAAAGAGCCAATTGGCCCATAAATATTCATAAAATATCACATGTTTTAAACAAAATGGAAAAAAATGTATTTTTAATTTTCCTACCAAATGTGAAAAAAAAAAAAAAAAATTAGAAGATAATTACGGTTAAAAATAGTTATAAAATTACAGATATTAATTAAATTATGTGGTAAAATAAATAAATGTATATTTATAAAAATCACATATTTTATTTCCTTTTTTCTTTTATTTAAAAATACTAGAAGAGTACTCGCGCAATGCAGCGAGATACATCGTGTTTTTAATATTTCATTTTA